TCTATAAACAACAATTAATAGAAGAAATAATGGAAATAATGGTTGAAAAAGAACAAGAATTACAACATAGAAAAAGAAGATTAGAAGAAAACATATTAGCAGGAGTATGTAATAAATCACTACTAGCACAAAGAAAAGATATATTCATGTTAAAATTAGAATTAGATTGTCTTGAATATGAGTTACAGCATAATATAATGCATAGATTATAGTGAATAAAGAAGAATTTGCAGTATGAGAAAAAACATACGAAAATCAAGACGGAATGATAATAAAAATAATATTTTCAAATCTAGGAAGAAGATATAAAAAAATAGGAGATAGTTTAACAGCTATGGTAAGAATAACAAAAGAAAATGAAGAAATAGATAAATCAAGAGAAATTGAAAAAATAAAAACACAAGCAAAACAAGAAGTACAAAATTTAGAAGAAATAAAAAATACAAAAATAAGTGAATTAGAAAAAGAATTAGCTAGGTTAAAATTATTATATGAAAATAAACAAAAACAAAAAGATAAAGAGGTAGAATTAACAAATGAAATAAAACAAATGGAACAGAAACTAAATGAAGATCTAAAAGATCTAAATGAAGATATTGAAGTAAATGAAATAGACGGAAATGAAAATGACCAACAATTGGAAATAAGTGATATAAGTGAAACATATACAGAAATTCTAGAACAGATAAATAAACCAAAAAAATTAGAAATAAACACAGGAGATATGAATAGACTTAGTACGTCAAGAGTAAAAACCCCAGATAATAGTCCCAAAAATAGCCCTAGAAGTAGTCCTAGGGGGACACCACCAACTTATTATACAGAAAGTTATCAACAATCAGATAGAAATAATGCAATATGGAACAGTAGATTAAATAAGAATTGGATACCGAAACCAATAAGTGAACAATATAATTTCTTAGAATTAGATTGCGTCACAGACATAAATAAAGCAATATTACTATGGACAGGAAATATATCCAAGCAGTTAATAGATAATAAAATAGAAACAACAAAAACACCAAGATATATAGAAAGAACATTCGTAGGAACGGCAAAATTATGGATAGAAAATCTACCCCCAGAAAGTTTAGAAGTACTTAGAAATGATAAGAAGATGGATGGATCCCCATCAGCAACAAATATAGATATACTAGATAAATATGAATCAGCAATAAGAAATGAATTTGGAGGCATGACTACAGATATAAGAGAACAAAATAGAGAAAAAATAATAAATAGACAACTTATGATAAAATTAGGTATATGTAAAATGTGTTACTTAGAAGAATATACTTGCGCATTTAAAGAATATTATTACAAAGCTAAATACAATTTAGACGAAGCAAAAGAAATAAGAAAACAATATTATACAAAATTACCAGAACCATTTAGTACAAACGTAATAAAGGATTGGGATAATGAAGGAATGGTAGATACTTTAGGATCTAGAATAAAATTTTTAAATCAATGGTTCATACAACTATGTGAAAACCAAAAAGAAAAATGAAAAATGAAAAAAGTATTAAATAAAAATTTATCATGTTGTAAAAATAAAATGGCACCACAATTTGGATGCACAACTAAAAAACAAAAATCTAAAAGATATAAAAATTATAGAAAAAACAAAACTATATATAAATATAAACAACCAAGACGAAGGTATTATGTAAAAAATCATAAAATAAAAAGACCATACAGACCAAATAGAAAAATATCACAATGTACTTGTTATAATTTTGGAAAGATAGGACACATAGCTAAAGATTGTAAATTACCCAAAAATCCAAAAAGAAAACAAGTAGCAGAATTAATTATAGAAAATGAAAAATATATGCAAATAGAGTACATAGATTATGAATTAAGTGAAAATGATAGTATATATGAAGTATCAGACATAGAAACTGAGAATGAAGAAGAAAATATTAACATAGATAATAACGAAACAGATGAAAAAATATAATGTCTGAAAATGAAATAAAAATAATATCTAAGGAAGAATATCAAGATGAAGAATCATCAGAACAGAAAATTATATTTGATAATACGATATTTGAACAAATAAAAGGAAAAGAATTAGATTTAAGTGTTGAAAAAGTACTAGAAATACCTATTTTAAGAAATTAGTTTAAAAGACAAAAAGAAGAATACTATGTAGTTAGTCAAAAAGAACATATCATAGATTGTAAATACACAAGAGGAAAAGCATATATACCTATAATAAATAAAAGAATGATAAACAAAGAAATACAAGATATAAAAGCTAAAACACCAATAAAATATGTACATTGAGGAGGAACAGAAATATTAATAAAAGCCTGCTTTAGAGAAGGAATAGATACTCCTATAGAAATATATTTAGCAGATGATAGAATTGTACACCCTATAGAAAAAAGCATAATTAGTGCAGTAAAAGGAAACTTAATATATCAAAAATTTAAGTTTACAATAAGTGCTAATTATACAGTATCATTACCAGATAAAAATATAGATAGATCATTAGTTCTATATTGGAAAATGTCTGGAATAGAACTAGCACGAGGGAGCAAATTATTTACAGCAAGATGTAAAAATTTATATATATTAACAACAAAGCATAAAATAACAGCAAGAAATAAAATTAATAAAATAAAAATAGAAAATCCTTTTGAAAAAATAATTACTATAGTAGACAATAATGACTATAGCTATAAAGAAATTGATATAGAAGAAGATTTAGAGATAGTAAAAGAAAGATTAAGCACTTCAAGCGTACCAAATACATTGACAAGAGCTATCTCATCAAGGATGAGTACATCCAAAAGAAAATATGAAATTCCACAAAGCTTATTAGATAAACAAGAAATAACACCATATCATTATTTCATAACAGGAATAATAGACCAAAGAAAATATAAAATATTAATAAATACAGGACAAGAAGAAAATTATATAACAAGAGAGTTAGTATTAGAAGAAGAAATTATAAGAACAGGACATACATGCGCTGGACTACCTAGTGAGATAGTGAACACGAATGAAGAAACAACAGAAAAAGAAATAATTATAGGAGGAATACCCTTAGTAATACAATTCAAAATATACCAAGGAGATCATAATATTACATTAGGAATAAAATGGTTAGAAAAAGTTAAACCATACAACATAGAAAATGAACAATTAACAATAACTTGTCAAAATACGAAAATAATTATAAAAAGAACAAAATGATTAATGAAAATATTTATACTTACAAAAATTATAGTAGAAGGATATTACAACAGATATTATACCCCTATGATAGATACAGGAGCAGAAGCGAATATATGTAAATATAATTGCTTACGAGAAGATAAATGGGAAAAATTAAAAACACCTATGGTAGTAACGGGATTTAACAATGAAGGAAGTATGATTAAATATAAAGCAAAAAATATAAAAATACAAATATGGGATAAGATACTAACAATAGAAGATATGTATAATTTTGAATTTACTCCAAAAGATATGTTATTAGGAATGTCATTTCTAGATAGATTTTATCCACATATAATAACAAAAACACATTGGTGGCTTACTACACCATGCGGAAATAAGATAGGAGCAAAAAGAGTAAATAATAAACAACGAAAACCTATGGAATGGATAAAAGGAAGTGAAAAAATAAACCAAGTAATGGAAAATATAAATAATAAACAAATAACACAATTAGAAATTATTATATTTGCTATAGACAAAGTTAAATTAATTAATGAACAACTAGAACAATTATATAGTGAAGACCCATTACGAGGATGGGAAAAACATAAGACAAAAGTAAAAATTGAGTTAATAGATGAAAATAGCATAATAACACAGAAACCATTAAAATATAACTTTGATGATTTAAACGAATTTAAAATACATATAGATGAATTATTAGCAAATAATTACATACAAAAAAGCAATACTAAACATACAAGTCCAGCATTTATAGTTATAAAACATAGTGAACAAAAAAGAGGTAAAAGCAGAATGGTCATAGATTATCGTAATCTAAATGCTAAAACGAAAACATACAATTTTCCAATACCAAACAAAATACTAAAAATAAGACAAATACAAGGATATAATTATTTCAGTAAATTTGACTGTAAATCAGGATTTTACCACCTAAAACTAGAAGAAGAATCTAAACAATTAACAGCATTCACAGTACCGCAAGGTTTCTATGAATGGAATGTTTTACCTTTTGGATATAAAAATGCACCAGGTAGATTCCAACATTTTATGGATAACTGTTTTAACCAACTAGAAAATTGTATCGTATATATAGATGACATATTGTTATATTCTAGAACACAAGATGAACATATAAGATTATTGGAAAAATTTATACATATAGTAAAAAATACAGGTATAAGTTTGAGTAAAAGAAAAGCAGAAATTATGAAATCACAGATAGAATTTCTAGGAATACAAATAGATAAAAAAGGAATAAAGATGCAAACACATATAGTACAAAAAATAATTACTATTGATGAAAATATAAATACAGAAAAGAAATTACAATCCTTTCTAGGATTAGTACATCAGGTAAGAGACTATATACCAAAATTAGCAGAACATCTAAAACAATTACATAAAAAACTTAAAAAAGATGTAGAATATCGTTTTGATGATAAAGATAAAAAACATATAAGAAATATTAAGAATTTATGTAAAAAATTACCAAAACTATATTTTCCTGATGAAAATAAAACATTTACTTATATTGTCGAAACATATTCAAGTGATCATAGTTATGGAGGAGTTTTAAAATACAAATATGAAAAAGAAAAAATAGAACACCATTGTAGGTATTATTCAGGATCTTATACAGAAGCACAAATAAAATGGGAAATAAATAGAAAATAATTATTCGCATTATATAAATGTTTATTAGCATTTGAACTATATATTGTTTACAATAAATTTATTGTAAGAACAGATAATACACAAGTAAAATGGTGGATAACGAAAAAATTAGATGATTTAGTTATAACAAAAGAAATAAGGAGACTAGTATTAAATATACTAAATTTTACATTTACAATTGAGGTAATAAAAACTGACAAAAATATGATTGCAGACTATTTATAAAGAAAGAGTTACACAGCCAGGACAAGATAATGTTATGGAAAACATACTCAAAACCCTAACTACACTTTGTACAAAAGTGGACAGTATGGGCTTGAGAATTCAAAAGCTAGAACAAAAGGAAGAATCTACAACTCAGCAGCATGACTATAAAAATGCGGAGCTACGTCGTTCGGCAGATGAAAAACAACCAGAGCTAAAAGGAGACGTTGGGAAACTCCTTAAAACCCATGACATTACTGATGCTGCAGGTACAAGCAAAAAAGCTATGGAGAAACCTACACCAAAAAACATAAACCTAAATAGCATATTTACCAAACCATTTACTCCAAAGATACAGACAGTAGATGCTTCAACACCACAAACATCTACCTATGCAACTAGCCTGCATAAAGAGAAGAAAACATACAACCATATATCCCGAACATATATTGAAAACCTATACAAAATACAAAATTTTTTAAATCAAAAACCCAAATCTACCACAACATTAGAAAAAATCCAAGACTACCTAACCCAAAAACTACAAGGCTCTAACAAGTTAATTGCACAATCAAAAACTAATCCAAACCTAGTTAAAACTTGTTATAACTATGGATTATTAAATACAGTCTATACATATACAGGTGAAGAGATAAGAGGAATCCCAGAGGTCCATAAAGCATTTTTAATATATAAAAAGATAACAAAAGGAAACTTATTTTTCATAAGATTCTACAAAGCACCAGCAGAGATACTCTATGATGAAATAAAGCCAATGATCCAGATAGTCAAAATTGGGCTAACACGAGAAATGATAATCCCAGAAGATATAGGCCAACAGCCAGAGATAATAAGAGTTGAGATACCCAGTTTCTATGCCAATAAAAGGATAATTGGATTATCAACTATTATACAAGAGCTAGCAAATAACTATCTACAAGGCAACGCCATATGGAGCTACTATTCGAGAGACCACTTAGTGATATATGCCAATTCGAAAGAAATAAGACAAGCAGATATGGAAGAAGTCCAAAAAAGGATTTTGACCCTGTTAAAACTAGAAGCTACGCCAACAACTAGAGCAATAAAGCAAGGATTCATATCCGAAGAACTAATGACGAGATATTGCAAGCTAGTCGGACACAATTACCCAGACCATATATGTTCCAAGTGCAACCAAGGTGATGACATAATTCCAGAAGTACAACTGGAGTAAGCTGAGAAAGAAAATAGGGAAAAGATAGACATAAAATATATGTAAATTAGTCATAATTATTGTCGGCCACATGTAAAAAGTAAAGGCCATTAAATGAAGAAGAAAAAAGTATGTCGGCCATTTGGCCAAAGTCTATTTTGTTTTTTGTAAAAAAGTTGTAAAGTAAATAGTGTCAGTATCCTATTCATGAATAGTACCATGAATAGTAAGAGTCAAGTTACTGTGTAAATAGTAAGAGTCAAGTAACTGTGTAAATAGTAAAGGTCAATCGTCCTTTAACAAGGATGAAAGGTCATTATGTATGTCTATATAAGGGGCATTTGCCTTCATAAATAAAATATCCTTCTTCCAACAATCTACTCTCTACTCTAAAATAACAAAACCGCTTCCACCCCTCCATTGAGCTCCGCATTTTTATAGTCATGCTGCTGACTTGTAGATTCTTCCTTTTCTTCTAGCTTTTGAATTCTCAAGCCCATACTGTCCACTTTTGTACAAAGTGTACTTAGGGTTTTGAGTATGTTTTCCATAACATTATCTTGTCCTGGCTGTGTAACTCTGTCTTGATAAATAGTCTGCAATCATATTTTTGTCAGTTTTTATTACCTCAATTGTAAATGTAAAATTTAGTATGTTTAATACTAGTCTCCTTATTTCTTTTGTTGTAACTGAATCATCTAATTTTTTCGTTATCCACCATTTTACTTGTGTATTATCTGTTCTTACAATAAATTTATTGTAAACAATATATGGTTCAAATGCTAATAAACATTTATATAATGCGAATAATTCTTTTCTATTTATTTCCCATTTTATTTGTGCTTCTGTATAAGATCCTAAATAATACCTACAATGGTGTTCTAATTTTTCTTTTTCATATTTGTATTTTAAAACTCCTCCATAACTATGATCACTTGAATCTGTTTTGACAATATAAGTAAATGTTTTATTTTCATCAGGAAAATATAGTTTTGGTAATTTTTTACATAAATTCTTAATATTTCTTATATGTTTTTTATCTTTATCATCAAAATGATATTCTACATCTTTTTTAAGTTTTTTATGTAATGGTTTTAGATGTTCTGCTAATTTTGGTATATATTCTCTTACCTGATTTACTAATCCTAGAAAGGATTGTAATTTCTTTTTTGTATCTATATTTTCATCAATAGTAATTATTTTTTGTACTATATGTGTTTGCATCTCTATTCCATTTTTATCTATTTGTATTCCTAGAAATTCTATCAGTGATTTCATAATTTCTGCTTTTCTTTTACTCAAACTTATACCTGTATTTTTTACTATATGTATAAATTTTTCCAATAATCTTATATGTTCATCTTGTGTTCTAGAATATAACAATATGTCATCTATATATACGATACAGTTTTCTAGTTGGTTAAAACAGTTATCCATAAAATGTTGGAATCTACCTGGTGCATTTTTATATCCAAAAGGTAAAACATTTCATTCATAGAAACATTGCGGTACTGTGAATGCTGTTAATTGTTTAGATTCTTCTTCTAGTTTTAGGTGGTAAAATCCTGATTTACAGTCAAATTTACTGAAATAATTATATCATTGTATTAACAACAAAGCATAAAATAACAATAAGAAATAAAATTAATAAAATAAAAATAGAAAATCCTTTTGAAAAAATAATTACTGTAGTAGACAATAATGACTATAGCTATAAAGAAATTGATATAGAAGAAGATTTAGAGATAGTAAAAGAAAGATTAAGCACTTCAAGCGTACCAATACATTGACAAGAGCTATCTCATCAAGGATGAGTACATCTAAAAGAAAATATGAAATTCCACAAAGCTTATTAGATAAAGAAGAAATAACACCATATCATTATTTCATAACAGGAATAATAGACCAAAGAAAATATAAAATATTAATAAATACAGGACAAGAAGAAAATTATATAACAAGAGAGTTAGTATTAGAAGAAGAAATTATAAGAACAAGACATACATGCCCTGGACTACCTAGTGAGATAGTGAACACGAATGAAGAAACAACAGAAAAAGAAATAATTATAGGAGGAATACCCTTAGTAATACAATTCAAAATATACCAAGAAGATCATAATATTACATTAGGAATAAAATGGTTAGAAAAAGTTAAACCATACAACATAGAAAATGAACAATTAACAATAACTTGTCAAAATAAGAAAATAATTATAAAAAGAACAAAATGATTAATGAAAATATTTATACTTACAAAAATTATAGTAGAAGTATATTACAACAGATATTATACCCCTATGATAGATACAGGAGCAGAAGCGAATATATGTAAATATAATTACTTACCAGAAGATAAATGGGAAAAATTAAAAACATCTATGGTAGTAACGGGATATAACAATGAAGGAAGTATAATTTAATATAAAGCAAAAAATATAAATAATAAACAAATAACACAATTAGAAATTATTATATTTGCTATAGACAAAGTTAAATTAATTTATGAAGAACTAGAACAATTATATAGTGAAGACCCATTACGAGGATGGGAAAAACCTAAGACAAAAGTAAAAATTAAGTTAATAGATGAAAATAGCATAATAACACAGAAACTATTAAAATATAACTTTGATGATTTAAAAGAATTTAAAATACATATAGATGAATTATTTAATTGGGGAAGGTCCATATCTAGATTTTAGTAAGGGTAAATTGGTATTTTCACAGAACTATTTTGCAATATGTTTTAAAGGTTTATTAGGTGTAAAACTAAGCCTTATGTCTGTTTTAGAAAACTTATTCACGCTTAGGGTTCGTTATAAAGGAGAAGACAAGAAAGAGAAAGGGCAAAGACCATGATTTCATCAATAGTGGCAACATATTTGAGTGGAATTCGTCAAGGGTGATCCTTATTAAGATACGAGAGATCTTTCTCTTTTGTTGTAGTTCACACACACACACACTTCTTCAATTAAACAAATTTTGAATACTTTGAATGATGAATATTGAAGTTGTTAGAGAACAATGGTTGAATTCTTATTGAATGTGTTGTGTTATGCAGTTAGTTGATTTGGTTAATCTTTTTGGGATGTTTTAAGGGTCTAATCTAATAGATATTGAGGTAATAGTGATCCTCAGCGATTGGGGAAAATCCATGGATGTTTAAATGGTTAAAAATAAAAAAGTTGAAAATAAAAAATTAAAATCCCTTCTGTCAGGTCCAGGGGTGCCACGCCATCAAGAACCCCTCATGACTCTGTCTTTCTCTCAGACTCAACTATACCGTGAAAGCCAGAGCCCTAATAATGCCTGGTGTCACGACCCAAACCAGGTTGCGACTGGCACCCACACTTACCCTCCTATGTGAGCGAACCAACCAATCTAACCTTAACATTTCAATGTAATAACAACAGAAAGTAATGCGGAAGACTTAACTCATTAATTAAAACCAATTCAATAACTATCAATATTCAACATCTATTATTCCCAAAACCTGGAAGTCATCATCACAAGAACATCTATAATCAAATTACTAAACTAAGAGTATTCTAATAAGCTAAAAATACATAAGAAGCTAGTCCATGCCGGAAGTTCAAGGCATCGAGACTTGAAGAAGAAGATCCAGTCCAAGCTAGAAGCATTAGCTCACCCTGAATTTCCGATGTAGTAAGACTGGCTTGAATTACTGTTGAGTCGAAGACGACGGCACGTTTGCTGCACTCCACAATAAACAAAAAGAAAACAATAAAAGTAGGGGTAAGTACAAAACACGGGTACTGAGTAGATATCATAGGCCAACTCAAAATAGAAAACAGTATGTATTAAGCAATATCATAAAATCAACTAATATCCTTAGCATGCAGTATTTACAGTTACCATAACCCTTGGTTACAACACCAAGCTCATCAATGAGGACTCACGCCGCCTCATCATACTCATTTGGGAATTCAGTTCATTAGATTGGATACATTAACATTTTTCAAGATTCATTATCTTTATTCCCCTCGTGTCGGTACGTGACACTCCGCTCCTCAATATACTATCCTGGTGTCGGAACGTGACACTCTGATCTTCATTCTATCCTGGTACCGGAACGTGGCACCCGATCGATATATTCTATCCTTGTACCGGAACGTGGCACCCGATCCATATTCTATCCTGGTGTCGGAACGTGACACCCGATCCATATATTTTATCCTGGTACCGGAACGTGGCACCTGATCCATATTCTATCCTGGTGTCGGAACGTGACACCCGATCCATATATTCTATCCTGGTGTCGGAACGTGACACTCCGATCCTCATATACTATCCTGGTACCGGAACGTGGCACCCGATCCCCTAATCTCACTACTTTCATTCGTCAAGCCTTCTTTTATACCAAGGCATCATCATTAACAAAGTAGATTAGGGTTTCTTTTCAAGATTTGGGATTCAATACCTTCATCATGCTTATTTATTCATAATTACATAATCACATCATTCATGCAAGCATACAATTAAGCATATAGAAGGTTCACAATATTACTAACACATATCATTCGCTATTAAGAGTTTACTACGAATAGCATGAAATAACCATAACCTACCTCCACCGAAGAATTGCGACGAACAAGCTATCTTCTTCGTTTCTCTCTCTCTCTACTCGTTCTCTTTCTTTTTCTTTGTTCTTTCAAATTTTCTTTATTCAAACCTTCTTTTTTTTACCCTAATTATTATATAATTAAGAATAAAAGATGGCAATAATACCCCTCTAACTAACTTAGGGTTACCTCTTTTAACCCCCAAGAATTTGAGTTATTAATATAAACCCACGAAATCTATAATTAAGGAAAGAATAGTCCAAAAAAGTCCCTTAAAACTTCACCAGAAATCCGACTCTGCCTGGGATTTGCGCAACCTGTGACGGGCCGTCGTGCCTGCGACGGTCCGTCCTGCAGGTCGTCGCAAGAGTCAGAGACCAAAATTTCCACCAAGGGTCTGTGACGGTCCGTCACACCTGTAAACTTGGTATCAGAGCATTAGGTTCGTTGGTCTCATCACACAAGAACAGGTCTAGTAGGGTGTTAAGGAACGGTAGGGGGACGCCTTTACTTTTCCTTGAGAGGCTATAAGACATTAAGAAAATTTCACTCTTTCATTCCTTCTTTCGTGCTACTACTTGAGTCCAATTGGCATCTAGGCAATACAAATTGGTATCTGACCATCTTCACTCTCTTTCGCAGATGGTTTGAACTAGAGCAACGACTACGCCAACGCCAACACCGGCCAGACAAGAAACAACTGAGCCAGCCACTGGGGCTGTGGCTCGAGGAAGAACAACGGCAAGAGGCCGTGGTAGAGGTCGTGGGAGGACGTCCTCTAGGGGAAGAGGACGAGCACCTAGCCCATCTGATACTAGGGCAGTGACTCCTCCACTGACTGAGGAAGTAATGAGAGAAGGGGAGGATGGGGAAACTGAACAAGTGCAAAACGAGGAAATGCCATCCCAACCTACCCCAGAGATGATCAATCAGGTTCTGGCTTATCTCAGCGGGTTGTCTGATTAGGGCCAGACACCCCCAGTGTTTTCTGCACCAGCACCCCAGGCTCTGGAGGTACAACATGCGGCTACTATGGCTCCCCGCATGGATGTTCCATTGGAGATAGGCACGTTTCCACGTCTGACTACTGGGCCTATAATGACA